GTCAAGAAAATATATTCTTAGTGGAGAGCCTCTATGCTGTATTCCAAAAGTTTTAAAGATGTTTTCCGTCTCTGGTTCATTCTTCCCTTTCTGCTTGAAGGACAGATACATGCAGTTCTCCTTAGTGCACTACAATTATTATTTCTGACGTCATGATTGCTTTTCTATGAATTGGGGAGAAGGGTGGGAACAGCATTTTTCTTGCAATACAAAAGGAACGAAATCCTGTATCAGTTCCTACCTCTACTTACATAAATGCATTACATAGTAACTTTCTAGGTCAGTTATTGTTTTTTCACCTGCAGTATTGGCAATATTCCTCAGTATTTGCTTTTTATTTATGATTGATTAAAATAGCTTAAATCCTGAGTAAAAATCAACCATGTTTAGTCTCATCTATTTTTTGTTTTATCAATTATTTGGTGCTTGCCAACCAGCTAGAAAAATTTAAGTGGCACTGATCTATAACTTATATCTGTTAGAACGTAAAATTTCTCAGCTCAATCCTCCAGAAAAGCTACAAAATAGAATAGTTAATAAATACAAGATATATAAAGGCCAAAACATGAAATATAATCCCAACGGCTGCCTTGTACTTCAGAAATCTTATTCATTTAAATATTGTGAATATGCTATAAAATATTAATGGAGGTATAGTATATTAATATACTAAGACATCATATATTAATAATGTCAGTTCTGGAAGCCATATTAGAACCAGAAGACAAATAATATGTTAATATATTATGCACCTAAAGAGTAGACACACAGTTATTCTTGTGCACCCATCTCTTTGTTTGACTTTTTTTAAAATAATTGTTTCTTTCTGTCTCATTCAATATATTGAAATAAGGGTCTTTCAGTGGATCCTTTGTGGTAAATTCAGTCTTAGTTAACATTAATAAGTACAACTGCAACTTCAGTATTAATAAATAATAGTTCTGCAGTGTTCCTGAGGTACCATTTAATAGATCCAATCCTAAAGAAAAAGGATAAAATTAGCAAGTATTCTCCTTCCAATTCTCTTTACAAGTGGATTTATCTATTTTTAAGGTGGGGGGGATTCTTGAGCAGGCTTATGATTCAGAGATTTCTTAGAATCCTTCTAAGACTTTTTTCTTAGAATCTTTCTTAGACTTTGCAGTTATATTAAAATCTAGATCTTATTGCCTAATTTAAAGAAATTATACACACATATGTTCTTGTTGTTCCCATAATAAGAATTCCTTCTAAGTATGTTATTTGCTTAATTTTGCTTAATTAGGATTAAGTAGGATGGATACAAATGGGTTCAGAAATACCCAACGTTTTACCTTTAGAGCGGTTACATACTGACTTCAGGAGTCCCAAATCTATTGTACTTCTACAATATCCAGATCAATTTAATTAAATTCCATTAGAAGCACTAAATCTATGAAGGCGACCAGCACGTCACCTTATATTTATTTTTGCACTCAATTGATAATATTCCCTTTTGACTTCTAAAAATTGGCTTAAATCTTTTAACAGTAATCACTTTTAGAACTGAAATATATCTAATGAATTTATTATTCAATATTTTCTTATAAAATGGAAATGGACGTAGAGTAAAGGAAGGCTAATGTTATATTTGCAGTAATTGCATTAGAAAAGAAGTTGGAGACATAGTCCCCCCAAATCAAGTTTGTAATTTGAAATGTATAATATATATTGGCAACAGCATTTGTTTTGATCTGAAAAGACATTATTTCATTTAAGCTGCATTTTCATATATTATTAAACTAAAGAGAAGACTGCCCCTGCCAAAAGAAAACAAAACAACATTTTTAGTTTTTTTGCTATCATTTTGTTTCATGAGCAACATGACAGTAGAAGGGCAAATCAAATTACATTTAAACCTCAATTTAATAAGGCAATTAGCAGGAAAATGAATGAAGGGGTATCAAAGCAAAACATAAATTCAACTTCCTATATTATGTTCCTATAATCTTAAGAACTAGCTTGTGTTGACTGTGGTATTATCTAGCCCAAATTGAAAATCCATACATACCCAACAGAATTTGCTCATTGATTTTTGTGTAAAACAGTAGGGATGACTGCACAAACAACATGTTGCTATCATATTTTTGAAGCTACAGGTCTTTTCAGAGAAGTATCAGAATAGGTTATTGCAGAGCCCTCTTCCAATCTCTTAGGAGTATCTTTTCATATGAAAACTTTCGGTACTCTCAGGCTACATAAATAAGTGTACTATTGGCCAACTTTGCTAGCTTCATTGTTTACTTCAGTTCCAATTCACTTTGCCTAGGAAATGTCTATTAAGCAATCTAGGATTACTTAATAGAAACTACTACCTGATAGAATGGAGTTGTCACATAAAAATGCTGTCATTCACCACATGGCAGCATTTGGAGCGTAGAAATAAAGTATTTTGTAATGTTCTATCTGTTGTAATAGGAATCATTGTGTATTTTTAGAGATTTGAAACTTCAAAAAGTTATTCTGAACAAAGGCAAACCAAAGTTTCTATAGAGGTTTAAAGATTAACAAAAGTATTGAATATAAAATTTCAGAGGTTAAAAACCACCTCTTTGTCTGAAACCCTTCGCAATTGCAGGTAACAGCAAGTTTGCACACAACTGAACAGAAATTGCCTGTGTATCTTGCCTGCTTTAGTAGGAATGTCTGGATAAAAACTGAAGATTTGCAAAATATAATAAGTTGAATTGTTTGCAAAGTTTTTGTATGATTTTTGAAACAAATCCTGACTTATTTTGCTGTTCCCATATAGAAAGGAACAGGAGAATAGCATACACCAGCATGTGGCTCACTCATAATACAGTAGATCAGGATAAGTCAATAATCTTGAACATGTGTTAATATAAACACTGCCAATACTTATTTTTGGTATTCACATCAACTTCTAAACCTGAATATCTATAAATAAGCATCAAATTGCCTTTGCTTGCTTGTTTGCTTGTTTTATTTATTTATAAAATCTATAGGCCACCCATCTTCTGCAATTTATAAGACTTTATAAGACCGTGGCCAGAATCTCAACTTAGGTAAAAAATAACAAAGAAAAGAACATACCTGCATCATGCCATACCTTCATCTCAGCATGCTCAGTACTCTCCCACCTATTGAAAAGTTGCTTGACTCTGGAGAAAAGCGTGGATCATCAACCCCTTGTGAGTTCTCATAGCAGCAGTTGGCTATTCCCAAAGCAGGACTGATTTAAGGGAGTTGGTGAATGCAGAGCAACAACAAAGTTGGAAGCATGGTCTGCTGTCTTATCTTGCACTCTCTCAAGCCAACCTTTTCCTCTCAAATTTGGTAGAAGACGTGGTCTTGTCCCTTTCCAATGGCACTCAGTTTGGCTTTTCTAAGTTAGGCAGGTATTAGGTGGAATTCAAGCAATTATTTTAAGAGACCTTTGGACAAACCTATATTTATAGTAAAGAAAAACATATTGATTTAAATTGACTTCAGAGATATTAGGTTTGTAGATTAAAATTTGCAACTGCTATTTAAGCTTTCACTTCACAATCTATTAACTTGAGGATGATCTCTCTGAGTAGTTGTACTACTTCATAATTTGAGGCATGTTACTATATTAATTTCATTGACATGATATGTCTTAATATATAATATGTCATTAAAATACACACTTTTCCTTGTGTTAATACTGTTTTTCACCACAGAAACAGCTTGATGCTTGTGTACTTTTTCTATAATATATACTGTATTTAGGACACCTATTCAAGATTGGCAATGAATAGCAGAGTAGGAATAAGAGAAAACATTCCAATTATTAAAAATACAATGCCTGTGCATATCCACTATAAAATTAGGTCAAATGCACATTGGAACAGTAGTTTTGTATTATTTGCAAAATACAAGGAGAAAGGGTGTTGCCAAGAGGCTTGGCAATGCTAAAAAGGCTTGTATTTTCATTTCTGTTTTTGTTAAACAACCTTTTTTTTCATAACCCAATTTGCTGCATTGTTCGTGTGAGCGAGTATATTAGCCAAAAGAACCTAAATTATAGAAGTGGTGGGTAATCTTTTAGCAGCCAGTGGGTTTTTTTTAATCTTAAAAAAATTAAACCAAAGGCCACAGAGTACCTAAATCGTCATGTTACTAATAGGGTGGAATCAATAGTCTTTTTGTTTGTTTTGTTTGTTTGTTTTTGGAAGCGACAGGGTTTCTGTATGTATTTACTATCAATATAAAGTATGCCACCTCCAGAATGAGGTTTAATTTTAAAATAATATAATACATGGTTAAATGTGGTTTAACTGGAGATTTATCTAAGGTTTTCTGCATCTTTGTTTTTATTTCACCACAAAAATGATCAGGAATTCACACTGCTGTAAACTACAAAATCTGCTATCAAATTTGATGTCCCAATCTTGGGGAAATTCAGCTAAATTTTAAAAAAATCCAAAGGCTTTTTTTTAAATGGAATTGCCCAAATACAAAACTGAACTGTCAAAATCGGTTGCTTACTAGAATTATGTTGTATCTTGTGTTCCTATGGTCAGTTAAGGCCATTTATAAAGCAATGTTAAAACTTGCATTACCCTTTTCAGAAAACTTAGAAAGTGTGAGCTAAATAAATCTAGGAAAAGAGTTGGGTGATTGACCTCATATAATTCATTAAGGCATTTCTTCTCTATTTATTTATTGAAATACTATTATCACAATATTTTTAAAACTGAACTAGTTTTCTCATTCTAATTTTAAAAAAATAAATGGTTATCCTTTCATGTCAATGGTTGTTTTTCACAAATGAATATTTTTGTTCTAAAAGACTGGATATTCTGTAATGTTAATATTTAAAATAAGCACTAGCATCTGAAAATAATATAGATGTAATATAAATAATATATAATTTGTTTGTCCCAGATCTCATATCCTTTTCTAAAACATATGTTTACCAAGCAGGAATGTGGTAGATTTCAGCAATGATGATATTTTATCACTAGCCTTTACTGATTATTTTTACTTTTTTGCAGGATGGATGGTCACAATATCATTTTGTAGCTTCATCATCAACAATAGAGAGGGATAGGCAAAGACCGTATTCTTCCTCACGCACACCTTCCATCTCTCCGGTGCGCATGTCTCCCAACAATCGTTCAGGTAAGATCAGATACATATATATATATATATATACATATATATAATTGAATAATTATGGAAACAATCATCAAAGTCAAATCAGGAACTGAAATATTACCAAGGGAACTAATAACTATAATGAAGCATAGAAAAGGTACTTTTATTGTTTATCTATTTTCTGGCTTATGGATGTTTGATGCCACCATGAAACATTCTGGATAAAGCAGAAGGGAGATCCCTGAAAATGGTGCCTCTGAGCAGCTGGGAGGATTTTTCCCCCCTCTGACTAACAGATGATTTCACTACCAAAGCCGACTCTTTGGTGGCAAAATGCTCCCTAGATTGAACAGGAGCAACTAGGAATGACCCCAGGTGACTCTCGTGGGACCCCTTGCTTACCAATGAAGAGGAATCTTGATAATTGCAATTCACAGGAAGAACAGCTGGAGAGTCAGGTCCCCATCCTTTCCTATCAGCTGTTCAGGTATTTAAGCGAGCCTTCCTTTAACATATTTTTTTTTAATTTGTTTTCTTTCATTTTTGCTTTACATTGTAAATTTTAAACATCTGATTGAATGCTGAACTTTTTTTTATAATCTTGCTGGATTATAAACCTAAAGTTTTTATTCTTTACTACTGCTTTTTTTTCTGGAATAATGAAAAATTTTGCTTTTGTCACATGGAAGTCAGTGGTACAAAGATTTTTTCTTACATAGTGAAAGTGAATTGATTTACATTGGACTCTTAGAGTAAGGAATTTGTTTACCACTTTTTATAAGAACTGTGCTATTTTATTGTATTTTATTTCTGAAAATTTGTTCTTAAAGAGCCAAAATTTTCCATTTTATCTCTTCTATTTACTCTTTATGCTGGGAAAAATTATCTCAATTCCTCCTGCAGTTAGCTGACTGTGGAACAGACTGCCCTTGAGGTGAATTGTATATGTTTTGGATTACATTAAAAATGGTAACAACAAAAACTTTCTGGGAAGTGTTTGAAGGAAGAATGCTTCTTACCTTAAAAGCTCTTTTTAAAAATTTAGATAAGTTCAGTGAAGCAACAACAATTATAAATCACCCTAAAGAGGCTATTCAAATACAGGCAACAGTGGAATTAGATTTGAAGTCAGATGGATTGGAAATTAATCTGTTGCGACAGAGTTGGAGGAGAAGAAACTTTGTTGGAAAATTACAAATTTGGTGGATAAGGTAGAAAGGGCTATGAATCTAAAAAATCCAGAAATGACAGAATTTTTGAAAAATAATGCTGTGAAGGTATCTACAACAGTGATTTATGACTTTGGAAATGAAATTATGTAAAAAGACCCCAGTATTAATTTTAAGGAAAAGTTTTATTACTAAGAATCATTTAAGGGTATTTGATTCTGGATGGACCAAGGACAATGACTAAAGTGAATAAGGCTTTCTGCAAATTAATCTTTTTTCTTTCTTTTTGTTTGATTTTGTTCTCACTTTGTTATTGGAGTTGTATTTTAACTTTTAAATAAAATAAATAAAATAAAAAGCAGAAAATAAGCAGTTCCATTTCTGATATTGTGTGGTTTTGTCAAATTGGGAGATTATTGCACTTATTACTGTTTTAGTAATCTAGGTTCAAATCTATACTTAACCATATCATTGGTTCATTATTTGTAAATTATTGGTAATCATGGGCCTGCTAAAGGAAGATAATGTGCGAAATAATTTGTATTAAAATTTTGCATTATATACATTATAATAATTACATTCATATCTTTCTTTACTTCAATTGAAATATATTTCAATATATGTACATGTAATAGCTGTTCCTGATTATTGTTCATAGTTGCTAGAACTAATGGGTATGCTGGTTTGGATATCTTGAAATCACCCCAGATTATCTTGTAGAGAAACAGACTTAAACATACCCACTGCTGAAGCGTGAAATGATTCCAGAGACCTAAAACAATATTCTCTCCATAAGTAATTGTTACTAACATTTATTTGAAATAAAATTTCAATTGAAGTAAAGAAAGGTATGAATATAATTACAGAACTATGTATGAAAGTTATAAAGAAAGAAAACAAGAAAAGCATAGTCAGAAGAGTGGAGAGATCAGCTGTATTTTTTTCTGTAGATCTGCTTAGAAAGGAAGGATAAAATTCTTACAACTAACTAAAGCTCATTTCTTTAGTTGAAATAAAAAAGATTGAATAGTCATATATATGAAAATACATCAATAAAATAATATATTACATTATATTATTGCTTTAAATTATTTATTATTATTATTTATAAAGATGTAAAGCATCTTTATTACATCTTTATTATTTATAAAGATTTAAAGCAATCATTTATTATTATTTATAAAGATGTACAGTCAATAAGCACTCACAGTATTGTTACTACCTTTGGGAGGAAGACAAATAAGGAGAGCAATCAGCTGCTTTACCTTGACTTTCTTAGGATACAACATTCAGTTAGATCATTTCCAAGGTTCCTTCCAGCCATTGTATTTTATGATCCTATGGTTTTGAACAAGACTATCCACAGGACTTATTTTTGGAAGACCAGGTTCATGCTAATCCATTCTGTAATCCTCTTTAGATGAAATTCACCTTAATGTTATTGTATTCATTACTCAACTACACATTATAGCAGGAGGATATGATGGCTCATTGGTTAAAGATGCTGATGTTGCCAGCTGGAAAACTTACAGCCCGGGTTTAAGATCCAAGCACCACATGATGGGGTGAGCTCGCGTTACTTGCCCCAGGTCCTGCTCACCTAGCAGTTCTAAAGCATGCAAATGCAAGTATATAAATAGGTACCATTTCAATGGGAAGGTAACAATGTTTCATCTAAGATCGGCATGCTGACCATATGACCATGGAAATGTCTCTGGACAATGCTGGCTCTGTCGACTAAAAAAATGAAAATAAGCATCACTCCACCTTTTTCAATTTTGTACAGCTTCTTTCAATTGTACATAATAAGGCAACAGAAATTAAGTTTCGTATATTTTTGCTTGAAGTCTTTCTGCCTTTAAATATGCAGTTTATTTATTAACTTCATTTGTATGGCCACCCATCTTAACAAGTGATTCTGGCAGCAAACAATAATAAATAAAGCAAGTTGGAAAATGTACTACCAAAGCTTCCTGTTTTTTTTTAATGTTAATTACAAATTGGATCAATAGGCAATTAGCTGAACTTTCATAGAAATTAGTAGTGTATTATGACTGGTATTTTGTATCATACAATATGTAACTTTTGATGGTGTTACTAGGTATGCTCAAGCACATTTTAGATTCATGAATATTCCGTTAAATTCTCTATGGGATCATAAAAGAATATCAAAAGTGTTTTTTTTATGAATGATTCAATAATTCCTCATATGAAATCTTCAGTCTTTCACTGACAAACACAGAATCGCTGTTTAAGGAATTTCTTTGAGGAAGAGCAAAAATAAACAAGTTCTGATTATTTTCATATACAAAATATGAAATGATTTTGTTAGATGAGGCTTTGAATCATAATACACAAAAGTGCCATCTGTATCACTGTAAGTGTTCCCATCATGTTAGGTCAACAGTTGACCAGATTTAGCAAGAGGGAACACGTAGCAGTGCTTGTCCAGGAAAATTACTTTGCATTTTCATTTCATTATTAGTATCTCACAGAGAACAAATGTGTTTAATATTTATTTTAATTAATCTGCTGAATGATATAGTTTGCGTCTTAGCCATATTAAATATTTAAATATTGGACCCAAGTGACCTTTATTAAACATTCTCTTTCTCACCTTCTTTTTACATTTCTTGTTTAATATTATTACTCTATTGCATGCTTAAATTTCACAAGATGAAACTTTACTAGTGGGAAAAACCCTATCTGAAATCCTTACAGAAACTTAAATATACTGCTAACCACTATGCTTAATAGTCACGTAGAGAGTGCCAAGATTCTAAATGTAAATATCCAGCATCAAATTGCATTCCAAGAAGTGGAGTACACCTGAATAGAACAATTCACACAGGTAAGCAAGCGAAAAGAACAATCACAACAAAGTGTTCATTGCTGTGACTACCTCCCCCTTCCCTTTGTAAATAAGGCGACTTGCCTACACTGTAATGACAAAAGGAAAGGTTTTCACACTCAGAGAGAAAGCACTTATCCCTACTCAGAGGAAACTCTGCAGCTGTTGACACCAGCCATCCATTTCACTCACACACAATTCTGCCTAAGAGAGCAACACATGTATACAACAGAACAAACCATTACAGCGCCCATATGAAGTTTTTCCTTTTCTAAGGCTCCAGATTCTTCTTTTACTACTATTGTGGAAAATTAGTAGTATTACAGACTTCCTCACTCAAGCAAGAAAAATAATTTAGGTCACCACTTTGCATCATTGCCTCACTCATTACACCCATTGGGCTTCCCAAAAATGCTATATGCATTCCTTTAGCCTCAAAGTATCCAGATAGCTGCTGTGGCCTTAAACATAGCTATATTCACAAGACACCAAAATTTCTTTCCCCAGCGGGGATTGGAGGCTGAAGTACGAACACTGTCAAAGAATTAGATGGTATCACTCATTCTTCTCTCCTCCTACCAACAAATATCTATGTATTCAGATTTTAAAAATGATGTCTTCCGCTCATTGCCTGAGACTCAGTCTTCTCCATTTCCAATTATTTCCTACAGGCTGTCCTCCAGACACAAGAACTATCTCACAGCCTGTTAGAAACAGGAGAGGAAAAGGGTTTCCTTACAAGTGCCCAGAAGGATGCATAGAATTGAGAACTTGCACGACAACCTACATACTGTGACTGGAAGTTATGCAGCAAATGCACCAGATCCTAATCTTACTCCCCAGCTTTGTGTCTAGGATCCTGCTGATGAACAACTTCTCATATTTCTTAATCTTTTGGGTTCTACTTCTTCCCAAATGCTGGTCAATAAAGTATTTGCCATTGTTGCTTGTGTGAGTTTTTGTTTGGCTGGCTGGCTGGGTAGATCCGTTACTAATACTCCAAAACTGGACATCTCTTTCCCCTACTCTTGCTTTTTTTTTTAGTTGGCCCCATACTATATCCACTGAGATGAATGTGGCAAAATACAAAGCCAGGATCAGTGGCTTCTTCCCCCTTATTACTCATTCTTGTGCTCTGGGTTATGGGGCTTTACAAAGGGGCCAGAAGTACCACTTTTAGGCAGATGGAGGGGCTAGTGGCCACATGACTATGCAGCAGTATTCCAACTTGGTTTTAGTGTTTTTAAGTGTTATTTGCCTCACATTAACCTTATTGTTTTATGTACATATTGTATATGGCTGTTAAATTTGAAACAGCAACTAGAACTCAAGATACTCAGAATCGAAAAACTGAGATTAAAAAGAACATATTCCCATTCAAATCATTTCATTTCTAGATGGACTTATCCAGAATTCTGACCCATTGCCTAGAGGAAAAACTAAGACTTTACAGAAGGCCAATAGACCAACAGGGTCTGAAGCAGTACTTTACATTCAACCAAGCAATTCAGGTATATAACATCTGAGTTATTCAGCAGCTTTTTCCTGTAGTTTCTGATTTCTGTCCTCTATAGCTGAACATTTTTGTTCCCAAGCTGTAGAAATGGAAAGTGAAAGCATTTTCTTCTCGTGGGATTCAGGTTCCCATTTCTTACTTGGATGAGCATTGAATCTTTGTATCAAGGAGGTTATATGGGCTTTATGGGAGCAGAGTTACAGAACTGTTTTTTCCTCTACAATATTTTATACTAGTAACAACCACCCATGGATGCCAACCTCCCATTACAGCTGAGTTCTGCTATATACCATTGGGGTTAGTCACATGGGAAACTGCATTCTTACCCAATTTTACCATGAATGACATAGCACAGATTGGTAGGTAGTTGTAGAATTTACAGGAGTATGTAAATTTGGGTTACTTATTCTTCTGGTTTCTCCCCTTCCCTGTTGGTTTGAATACATTATATTATCTATGCCAATAGATAATTGTCACTTCCTAATTCATATAAGATTGCATATTGTTGTGTTCATTTTTATTTTGAAAATGTTCTCTCTCATGTTATGGAGAGATTAGAGATTGTATAATGGGTTTCACCACATAGAGTTTTTCCTTAATGTTTCTAAAGCCTTTAGGTAAACTGTCATTGCTACACATTTTCACTGGGTTTTGGCATAATTTATTAATATATTTTATAATAACTGGGAAAAACGGATAATGTATGGGCTCAACATGATTGAATAGACAGCAAATGGGATGGGGCCAAAATACCAAAATTCATACAAAATGGAATTGAGGAAAATCAAATTCAACTTTATAAAAGAACAATAAGGTGGCAAAAAGCATTAAAAACATTAACATTCAAGTTTTCTACACTGTCTGTTCAAAAGAGCTGGTGCATGAAGATTTCAAGGATGTATGGCTGCAAAAATCATTTATCCAAGCACAGCCATTGACATGTTTCTTTGATTCTTGACTAATTCTAAGCAGCCAAATATTCTTCAAGAAAAAAAATTGAGAGCCCCACTCAAAAACCTAGAAAACTAATTGCAAAACTAATTCTAATAATTTTTGCTGGGAAAGAATAGAGAAAGCTGGGGGGAAATGTAGCTAGATTTTTAAGCCCTGGTAGAATAAGCAAGTAAGATTTTCGAATATCAGGCAAGGAGAAAGTATACATCAGGCTCCCATTGTGCTTTCTCTTAAGAAGCTGATTGCAGCTTCACTGTGAACAAGCAAAGGAGGAACATGCATTTATTTTGATTTAGAAGAGGTCAAAGTGCTCCAGATAGCTTGCTGCAATCAAAGTGCTCTAGATAGCTAGCAGTTTTCCTCTTTTGGAAAAATGGATTTTAAAAATTCACCAAACATTACAAATTCAGCTAATTTGCAATATAAAGGATAGTAAGCTGGATGATAACTTTATCTGGGCCTAGAGAATTTGATTACTCTGTTTGACTAATAGCAATGTTGATAATAGTTTCATTTGGAAGAAAAACATTTATTTTTGGAGTTTATGTACAAGGTATATTGTATCTGAAGTACAAATCTGGTAGATCACGAACATGCCTCTTGAAAGGATGTACCTCAAAGTGTATTGTCCATACATTCCACAACACCTCCTGATTTGATGACCCCTAGCATTGAAAAGCATGTATATCATACTTGCTAGCTGATGGCTAAATTTAGTTTAGGAATAAAATCATGGTTGACTAGATTTGGTTCTTTCGTCCTGAAGGAGCAGCTTGAAACACTGCTTCTCAATAAAGAGAGGGGGGGGGGGGGGGATTGGATTACAGAAAGGATGAAAAGACTCAGGAAATCACAGCAGAAAGTTTAAGTTTCCAAACTTCCCTTTTTTTGCCTAAAAGACAGGAACTAGTGAAGTCTTTAATAATTGGTGAAAAGGGAGCAGAATACTGTCTTTAATTATTAGTCAAATGATGTTCCATTTATCTCTTGCTTTGAGCAAAAACTAAAAGCTAACATTGAACGTATATGAGAGTATCAAATCAGTCCTGAGTATATTAAATTTCAAAATCTGCTATTTTAGAGCTGAGCCTTTGTGGAATGATATGAATAGCATACCAGCGTGATTCTGGGCCACAAAATATCAATCATAAAAGATAAGTCAAATGAAATGGCTATGTTCACATCCTCCCATTATGACAAATTCTATGGAATTCATGGATTGAATAATTCTAGAAAGATTCAGGAGTGCCATATTTGGCCTTTGGTGACATCATCATCATCATAAGAGCTGTGGTGGCGCTGTGGTTAGAATTCAGTACTGCAGGCTACTTCTGCTGACTGCTAGATGCCAGCAGTTTGGCAGTTCAAATCTCACCAGGCTCAAAGTTGACGCAACCTTCCATCCTTTTGAGATGAGTAAAATGAAGACCTTGATTGTTGGGGGCAATATGCTGACTCTCTAAACCACTTAGATTGGGCTGTAAAACACTGTGAAGCAATATATAAGCTATGTGCTATTGCTATTATTATTCTATCCCTTTTTTGTGTGGCGCCATTGATTAATCTGATCTGTATCAATGGGGTTCAGCAGATGCAGAGTTTTAATGGTTTATCTCAGTGGCTTTACCTTTCCCTCTTCTATAAGAGAAAGATTTTAAACAGCTGATATTCAAAGGCAATATTGTTAAATTTAATTTCTAAGGTATAATAATTCAAGACTATTTTCATTTAAGAGTTTTATGTATGTACAGTTGCCACAGATTTTCAAATGAAACTACTTTTAAAGAGATTCATTATTTTCAAGATAGCTGCATTGCTGCATTGCTTAGAACGTGTGTTCATATACTTTACTATGTCACTCATTCAGTCAAGAGTTCTAAAATCTGCGTTTGTTTTTGTTTGTAGCAAGTGCCCCAGCCTCCCCTCGGGAAATGATCAGTTTAAAAGAAAGAAAAACAGATTATGAGTCAACTGGAACAAATGCTACTTACCATGGGAATAAAGGAGAGCATACTTCTAGAAAAGACACCATGACAGGTGAGCAGAAATTGTATGTGATATATAAACATTGCAGAAGAAAACCTGGGCTTGGAATTGAGACTGGTGGTAATACAGACATACTTAGTAAGCATGTTCTAAGTTTTACACTCTTTGTAAACTACATTAATGTCTTCCACTCAAATTTGTTTATCAATTGAAAGTCAGATTTAAACTTTTGTTTCAAAATTCCAAGCCTTCAATCTCTGCACCATAATGTTTACTATAGGAATCTGGCATCCTAATAGTATTTCCCCTATAAAAGGAAAAGAGATTTATCTGATTTCATTTCTTCTTTGTCCTCCTCCTCCTTCCTTTAAAGCATTATTTCTCAACTTTAGCAACTTTTAAGATATGCGAACTTCAACTCACATAATTTTTTTGCCAGCATGGTATAAATTGAAAGATGTAAAACACTACTTTAAACTGAAGGATATATGTATGGACCACTTATTATGGCTTATCAACAATATTGGAGAGCACACAATCATCTTTAGCTATTGTTGTGCTTTGCAGTGAGTATATTACTGTAATTCATCCCATGTGGAGTAAATCACTTATGACTGCCCAGGTTTTTTTTACAGCTCTGCATTATCTAGGGAATATAATTTTCTCTCTTTAACAAATGCTAATTAGCTTTTTCCCCACAAAATTTTTGGCTTAATTTTACAATTATATTTATTGCTATTTAAAATTGTGATATTTATGCTGTTTTCTGAAAAGGGTTTTATGAGGTATTTCTTTCATTCCAAAATAGAAGTCTTTAAAATGGCACGGCAGAAGAGCATACTGAATGTCACCCAACTTCAGATAAAGTAACTAATACATTTGGAAAGATGGCATGAAAATCATCATATATTTAGAAGCATTTTGTTACAAAAAATAGCATAAAGCTAGATTTAATTTTAGCTGAATGTAAGGATTCTAATACTATCCAGATATTTCAAACTACAAATTCCATAATCCATTGTCATTGGCTGCAGTTGATGGAACTTGGCCATTTGAGGAGCCAAACACATCAACCTGAGAAAGGCTGGTTTAATACCATTGGTGATTATAACCTCACTCAAGGGTTTAAATTCATTATACAGTATGAACTTCTTTGCCTTTCCAAATGTTATATCAGTGACATCATCTAGAAGAACTCTGATATTGTTATGTATGTCAATTGCAAGGGGCTCTATTGTTCAAACAGGTGCACCTTGCATATGGACATCATCTTTTCTCCTTGTGTTACCATGAGACAGAGAAAAAGCTCACCATTGCCCTGGTGGGGAGAGAGACCTTTTCTTTATTGCTTCAAAGGATCTTAAGGGGAATAAAGGACATCTGCATTGGTCTATGTCTATTCATTTCTCCAAAATTCCACCCTTTATTGGTTTGGATGTTTTACATTTGTCTGGCTATTATGCTAATAATAAGAAATTGCTATTTTAGTAACTAATGTTATTGATTTTCAGGATATTTTTAATCACGGGTAGTCAGCTAAATCAGTGGCTCCCAATCTATTCAGCATCAAGGACCAGTTCTGTGAAGGGAGTTTTTTCCACAGACTAGGGAGGCATGGTTTCATGCTTTCCCTGGATCCCACGTGTGTGAAGATGGGTCTTTGCTCGCTTGTGCAGCCTGGTTCCTGGTGGGCCACAGACTGGTGTCAGTCCACAGACCGGGGGTTGGGGACCCCTGAGCTAAATGATATCCCATCAGTTGTGAAGTTCTGTACCAGCTAATGACCTCTTCCTCACCATAGGGACAGTTTTATCTTTATTACACATCCTCTGTTAACCTCTTTTTTTCATCAAAATAAAGTTATACCGATGGCTTTCTGGGATGAAAATGAGAGTATGGTCACCACACAGAGAGCAAAGGGAGTTTAGTTTTCCACTCATCTGTCTCTACAGGGAATATTTTAAGGAGACTAAAGCAATTTATTTAGGGAAAAGGGTAACATTTATCAATTTTGTTGACAAGCCATAGACTGGCGTGACACAGAACTAAATTGAACCTGAAGTTCATAATTTCTCAATGTTTTATAAGGTTATCATAATAGGAATAACAGGAAGTTTTCTAGTAATAAGAACATCTGTAGGTGGTACCATCTAAATCAAGGATTTTCAAACTTTACCAGCATGCAAAACCTGTTAATTAAAAAAATTAATCAGAGGCAAAGCCATAATGCACACAAACATCTTTCTAGAAAAAGAGAGGTTCCAAGATAAACTGACACCTTGACTTTCTACTATATCTTTAAAAATGTTGTATATACCCCTGATTATCTTTGAATAAAAGGATATATATACATACATACATACATACATACATACAGTCCTTATTTTCTCACAGAACCTCATCAAATTCTTGGAACACAATTGAAATATCCTTATCTAAATATGTATGTTGAGGGAGTAAAAGGACAAGCTGGAAGAAAACTATTTAAAAACATTAGATTATTGAGTGTTAACTATAGTAAAACCAAATGGATTCACTGCTCTAGATTATGATGCTTGACAGCTGTTCCTTTCAGCAGTTTTGTTTGATAATAGGGGACTAGTCTCTCAAGAGCTGTCATTCTAAGTTTCTTGTTAAACAGCAATGCCATTCCATCATATCATGACACCATATACCCCAAACGTCATCCACTGGAGCCAAAAGATGAAATGAACTCTACAAGAACATTAGTCCTGATCTTCTGAAGTCCATGAATCCTTCATTAGATAATTGATTCATCAAGAGGTAGAAGAATTTTTGAAGAACTGCAAAACAGCAACAGATAAGGTATTGTTTAGAATTGGATTTTATGTTTAAGAGCCCGTTTTAGCTTCTCCCCTAGTGTAATTTGTTGTGCTGATTCTTCATATTTGTGATGTAATGGGGGTAGACTTACAGCCTTGTTGAAGCAAATCTACAATGGGATCTGCTGCTTTTACACCCTCAATGCCATGCCTGGATTGTGTGGGCCAAGTATATGGTTGACTACTCCTTACATAGCTACTGTATAAGTACAGCCTTGCTTGTTGGAATCTAATTGAGCAGTATAAAAAACAGACTTATATATGCTACAGTGGGAGCAGGTTTATTAATCTGTTCCATGCAAAGATAGCTAGTCTATCATTTTCTCACTTTTTAACCAGTGACATTTTGCAGAATTTTGTTATTCCAGTTCTTATGGTGTTTCATTCTTTCCCCTTGCTCCTCTATCTTGCATTTTAGTTGACTACTGTACTAATGCATAGACAAAGATAGGAATCTCATTTTTGCCCTTCCAGATAGTCAAGTGACTTATGAGGCTAGACTTTCAAGTCAAAACAAATGTCATTTATAATAGCTTGTGTTGTTTGGTTATGAACAGAGATTACAAATCTTATTTTGCTTTTTACAGGCTACCAGAGCAGAGCTTGTGGCACATGGTTACCACATCAAATCTGAAGAGTAGATGAATTGCCACCTTGAGAAAGAGCTCAACTAACATGAAAGAAAACCAGAATCAACCAAACATTAAACAGTTCAATAAAGCATGATATGAAATCTCAGCATTGTGAGCCTTTCTTTTTAAACTGTGACAGATAATTTGCAGTCAGATTATTTTTTAGACTGAACTGAAGTTGCAGAGTCAGAGATAGTATGCAGCCATAAAAGTCTTGATCATGGCTGCACTATACTTGACATAGGAGACTATTAGGAATATGGAGCCATATTCCTTTTGAACCAGCTTTGGTGAGAAAGGGGAGGGAAATAGTACACTGTAGCAAGAACTTCCAAAGACTCCATCCATTATTGTCAGGTCTGATGGTTGCAGTTCTCTGAGTTTAAATCCCTTGAATCTGAAATTGCAGTCCGATTGTAAAAATACCTGATATGGTCAGTGGGTGATATGGTAAGTTGCACAATCTCTCCAAAGAAATAGGCTTCTTCAGTCTTGTTTTGATTCGACCTCATATAATCCTTTTATAAGACCTTCCCAACAAAAGAACACAGGAGATATGTCAAGACATCTTTCAAATAATTATGATCAGTTTACCGGTAACACTTGCATTTTCAAGAGCATTTTGAAATCAACTAATATTCAGGCCTCCTAAATTTCTTTTTACTCATTGGGAAGAACATAAAACCAGTACTGCTTGTTTGCATAATTCTGGATATACCTACTATATGTGGGGGTTCCGGTTGTTAATATTAATGAAATATATTAAGGATGCTTTTTCTGGAACAGCTGTTGTCTGTTTAATGCTGATAGCTTTAGAATTTTAGCATCAGAAAAGCTAATTTTGATGTTATTAGCTAAATATGCATTCATTCTTTAAGGACTGATTCCACCCCCAAAAAACACAGGTAGATTTTTAATTTAATTTTGTATTTTAAAATGATGTCTGATTAAATATTTTCATTAAAGTAGTTATTTACTATTGAATTTTAATATTTGCCCAACATCACATATTCTTAGCTGATTTCCAGGTATAAAGTCTATGTGAGTAAACACTTTCTCATATACATACTGTCTCATGATTTCTTATACATAAATATATTTCTGTACTACATATATATGCCCATAGTTTGCATCTTGATAGTCATTTGTTGCTGGTGAACAATAAAATCTGGGGGAACGTAAAGGGGTACACTTGATTGCTGGCAGCCTCACACTACTCAATCCTAATTGAACATTCACAAAATAGAGTACTATATTTGGCTTGTAGGCTTCAGAAACAATCCATACAAGTTATAAAATGGATTACTTCACAGAAAACTGGAGATTATTCTCATCATTTGGATAGGAAAGGAAGTCATTCATTTTCATTAACCATTGGTTGAATACTGAGAAAATAGATTCCCTGATGAAACCATCTAGAATAACTAACTTTTAAAAGTAATATATAGCCAGACATTCTAAGACCACAAGAACACTATGTATGTAAAATATATACATTTACAGTAATTATGCAATGTCATGTTTATATTAACTATAACATCTGACACCGCTCATTTAAAAAACTCATCACTGTGTATGTCTATAGTTCTATTATATCTACCCTTTCAGTGGTTTCCCACTCACTAAATATGAGAGCAAAGAAAGTCAGAATTTTTGGCTGAGCATTGGAGTATATACTACCTTAAATAAACAAAGCATATTTGCCTAGAAAAATTCAGGAATCAAATATCTCTTGAACCATTCTTAGTGATCCAGGAGTTGTATTCTGCATTGGGTTCTGAAGAAGTATTTTTTTGTGACAGCACAATCTTTTTGATACAGCTTTCAACTGAACATTCATACATTTATTTATGGCTCTGCAAAGCACAGAATGATTTAGCAAAGCATTCCTACACACACTGCTCTCTTTCCAGTGTGCTGTTATCCCTTAATCTCTGGTTTGCTAATTCATCTTGAACAGACAGAGTCAATTGTTCATTGATGTGAGATTGATTTCACAGCTACTTCTCACTGTTAAAATGTTTTCAAGAAATCTGTATGTAGTAAGTATCTATGACTGGCTTTGGTACAGCATAAAGGTTTCTAGTTTCCTGATATATGGAAGGGATGAAATTTAAACATGTCAGTCACATGTTCTTTCTTATAGATGACTCATGTGGGGATCAGTAAATCATTGCTAATAAAGGCTTATTGAAATTGCCCTACCACTGCTACTAGTTCATACATATAACATACATTTTGCCTAGTAACATAATTCCTATTTCTCCCACTTCTAGGTCAGAACTCTGGAATCTCTACTTTGTATAGAAATTCTTACGGTGCACCTGCTGAAGATATCAAACACAACCAGGTAAGTGGTAAATCAACTTACTCCCTTTTGAACTAAAAAAAATAAATTGATTAACATAGCTGCAATAATTTTAAAGAATCATAGCTGAAAAAGTAGTTTTGAAATCTTCTAGTTTCCTGGCAATATTATTCAATATCTCTTAATATATTTTTTCACATTTTTTGTGACATATATGTGTATAAGAGAAAAATGAGGCTAGGGAACACCATTACGCAGGAAGTTGCTGATGGGATTCTGTTGAGAAGAATGTGAGAAAGTGAAAGATAGGTGACTATTCCATGTGACTGGACTAAACAGAAATGCCTGTTTCTGATTCAAACTTTCTGATCTGAAAACATTACTGCAAGCTGCAGCCAGGATATTTTTTAATGTTACAAAAATCTCAGTTTCCACTTTCTTATATTTCAAATTCCATAGGATTGAATAGAAATTTTTTTAATTAGAAAAAATATATTTTTTTCTTCTAAAAGAATTATTTCCTAAAAATCACAAATTATAAAACAAACAAGCAAATAAGCAAATTGATAAGCAGGAAACAAGAAACATGAACAAAAATGAATGGGTTAAGTTATCATATTTGCATTTTGATGTGATACCTTATGAGCTCTCATTATAGCTTTAGGGTTATGTGATATACAAGTATGAAATAACTAGTAGCAATAATATGGATCAGGGCCTATAAAGGGATATGAGGTTGGGAAGTGTGCAAATTATCTGAAATGAGAAGACTTGCCCTGAAAGAGTCTAGATATCTCTTTAAATATAAATTTAAAGATTTAAATAATTTAAATAAATATATATTTATTTAAATTATTTAAATCTTTAAATATTTAGACATATGTCTAAATATATAAATTTACTGATGGACAAGCATTCCTAATATTGTTCACATTCTGCAATCGGAGATCCTCCACCCACAAATCATGTGTAAAAGTTTAATGTGAAGTTTATTCTACCCCTTTTTTGAGGAAAACCACTGTTAAATGTGCTTGAAAATGCAAATGTAAAGCAATCTTTGGAGAAAGATCAAGCAGAAAAGTGACATTCATCTAGGAAGACTAAGATGTTTTCTGTAATAGCTGAAATGTTGGTAATGTTCACGTTGTCTGTCTAATAAGTCCCGCTGAAGTAGAACCTTGCTCTGCACTCTTAAGAGACATGGCAGTTTGTTTCCCATCATTATAGTCTTCCCTAACAAGCCAAGACTTCTTATTCTGTTGACAGGTTTCAACACAGCCGGTCCCACAGGAGCCCACAAGAAAGGAATACGAACCATATCAGCCATTTCAAAATTCATCAAGAAACTATGATGAGTCCTTCTTTGAAGACCAAGTGCATCATCGCCCACCTGCCAGCGAGTACAATATGCACCTGGGACTCAAGTCCACTGGCAACTACGTTGATTTCTATTCTGCTGCTCGGCCCTATAGTGAACTCAATTATGAAACAAGCCACTATCCAGCCTCTCCAGATTCCTGGGTTTGAGATTTGGGCAAGAAAAAAAGAAGAGGTCCAGGAACTGTGCATGTGCATGCATATCACAAGACATTCTTTTCCTGCAAATTTAGTTTGTTAAAGCCTGTTCCATAGGAAGGCCCTAATACTCAGTCTGGAACAATTAAGGTATCTTTAGATGGCTAAAATAATGGGAAACTAAGCGCGGGAGTGTTATTAGGAAGAGTGGGATGTGTATCTATTTCTGTATCTATAGAATCCTATCTCTTAAATATAGATATAGAAATATACTGGGGGGAGGGCAGCTTTGCAGTTGACCTTGTAATGTAGAGTTTAAAACAAATAGTACTGTACACTGAATGTGGCTGAAGGAAGTTAGGGAAGTTACAACCATTGAAGTGAGTCCAGAGTTAAGCACAAGAAAATGAACAGTTTACAAACCTTATGGGGGACAGCTTCTCACCCTTTGTTTCCTCTCTTCATCCATTGTGAATTTAGGCTTCAAGTTGCATTTGGGATTTCCTCTGTACAGCAAGATGTTTCTTGCCTTTTGTTAATGCATTGTTGTAAAGTATTTGATGTACATTACAGATTTAAAAACCAGAGAGAAAGAGAGAGCAAAGTGCATTGTGTATATTACATCAATGCCACAGTGTTTCTTCATCTATGGTTCTAAATATTGCTTCAATTACACAACTTTGAAATATGTATGAATTTCCAGGGGTAGGGGAGGGTTTTTTCTTTTTCTTTTCCTTTTTTCTTTTCCCCAGTATGTTTTAAGAGGAGAAAACAAAAACTGATATTTAGCAGTATTGTTCGTTCTGATATGTGAATTTGTTTGTGGCAACTAAAAAAAAAGGCATTCAGCAGTTTCTGACAATTAACATTCATCATTCCACACTCCTTGTCAACAAAGTGCTTTTTCACTGCCTAAAATTTTAGATGTAGATATTTGAAATAGATTTTTTTCATTTATACCAGTTTTCTTTATGATGATACAGTGTTGAAAGAAAATAAATTACAATTGATCTGTCATCCATATTTGCTAAGAATGTCTATTTCCAAGATCCTTAATCAAAATATACATTCTTGCTCATGTATGTACGTATGTGTGTGTCTGTCCTCAAAACGTGTGCATACTATTTTGTGTGTACATTTGTGCAACATAAAAGTGTGTTCCATCATGGTGTTGCCAGACATAATAGAATTATGTTTTGTGTATAAGAATCTGGTGGCCTTCAGATGAAATCCATTTTGCACGCTCATACACAAAAAGAAACAGGTGTATAGGCTGGTGTAGCAATACATTTGGGTGTTGTTTTTGTTGTGTTTCTGCTTTGGGTGGAAGGCAGTTTTGTATACTTTTTCTAATATTTCAAGCCAAAATGTTGAATGGGAGAGGGAGTTTTGCACTAGTAGAGTTGTTTCACCAATCTGATAAGGAAAAGATCTATGCTCTGCTGACACTTCTAGCAAGGAAAACAAAGTATAGTGGGAAGGAAAGCAGGAGAAGCTTTGTAACTTTCATTATTACAGCAACCCCCTAAGTGGAAAATGGAATCTGGGCCATTGCTTGAGGTGCTCTGCTGGCTCCAAAGTAAACCAGTTCAGCAGAAGAATAAACAAAATTTCATAGAAATGTCAGCACCTAGTGATGGGTTCTAATTTATACCCTAATCTACCCATCCCCAAATACTATAAAAATACCAAACACTTTGTCAGTTTTAAACACATATCTAAAGAAGCCTAGTCTACATGTGAGAAACATTGGTAAGTATAAGCAATCCTCTGTAGCACTTCATAGGGTATTGTCATTCTCTCCCATCCTGTGGTGGTGCAACACATCACCTTCATGTGTGAAGGCCATCTGACACCGGCAATAACTTAGATGCCTCATTGCCCATAAGAAATAATAATCATTTCTGGTTAGCCAAATCATTTCAGGCAGACCAGAAAATGGTAGGAGAATCAAGATGTTCAGCTATCCAACTGTTGTGAAGTTAGAGTAGAATTCAATTAACACATGCTGCAAAATTAATCTGAATTATTTTAATATCTGGTAATTGATGATCAAGTGATAGGACCTGCAGGATGGAAGTCTTTTGAGGATGTCATTTATCTAGGCTTCAGGCTAAATTTTGTTTTATGAAACAAAGACAGTTTTAGGTTTATGGTCATAGTTTCAGCTTTTGTAATACTTGATCTTTAAGTGACTAAATATTTGTGAGTTGTTAACTCAGACCAGATACAACAGAAGCAAAGGCATATCCATAAACAAGATTTACTGGTCTTTTTTTAAAAAAAGTAACAAATTACTGAATTAAAATTTGTGTCTTAGCATATAGTGCATCCCTATGCTTGGTAGTAACAGCCATGTAGATATTTGTTTTAAATGAAGGGGTAGTTGCTGTACTTGTTGCCTGCTTAAAATCTTGTAAGAACTGGGCAGCAAATATTACATGTACAGCAAGTGATATGAACTCCCTAAATCCACAGCACCCTCCATTTCTGCTAGGCAACTTCTCACCCTGAAGTCTCTCTGGAGAACTTCAGAAACTATCACATATGTAGCACAAGCAACTGTATTAGTTGAACCCTTGACTACTGATCCTTTTCCAGTCTGTTGTGTCTGTCCCATTACTAATATACTGTATAACCAAAAGTCACCAATGTGACAGGAATGATTTTGAAAACTTGACTGATTTTTTTTCCCTCCTGTGAGAATATTGTCCCACAAACAATTTGAAAGATGAAATGTTTTTTCTGAATACTGGTTTGGGCTAGGGATGAGTAACCAAGACGGTGCCCTCAATTTGCAAAGGATGAGAACTAGGCCAAAATAGTTCATCCACTACCACTCATGAACAAGGTCATTGTAGAAGCCACCTGTGGTATCCCAGGATTTTGTCCAATTGTTGATGCTCAAAAATCTTTGCCGTGAAATCTGCAAACAGTTGAGAAGGTAGTATTTTATTTATGCATTTCTCTGTCTTCTCCAGTGCTTATAAGGACAGGTGTGTGAGGTAGATTGGGATAAGAGAGTAAACGACTGGTCATAGGTCACCCCAGTGAGTTTCCATCATTAAGAATGGATAAGATGTTAGAAGCAGATCCAAGCTCAATCTTCCCAGTCTTAATCCCACAATTTAGCTATTCTACTATATTGTGTCTCTATTTGAAAGGATATAATAATTGAAGGAGAAGGCTTGATAAGGCTTTTCCCTATAACTAAAGGCTTGGTGTAGGGCCAGAGGTTCAAAGATAGGAATTATCATCATCAAGCTTAATGAAAAACCAAAAAAATATTAAGATCTAAGTATAAAGTGAGCTAGTTGCAAGTGAAGACGGAAAAAAAATCTGATAAGGATGTATGACAAACCATATACCATGCATCATTAAACAAATTGATAACAAAAAGTAATGGCTAAATCATGAATAACACTAAACCAGCAGGTCTTTTAAGCATGGTTTGTTGAATTGTTTTTGATGCTGCAGGGCTCATCATGTGTTTGTGTGATGTTGTGGGGGGATTTCCTATGTATGGGTCCTTTTTCTGGGTTTTATGTGTGAGAGATTCTTTAATAGTTTAGAAGTCTTGTGCATTTTTATCAGTTTGTTTCACTTTTGTGGAGTATTTTGATGTAGAGTGTATGTTTGGGGGATTTTTGTGGTGTGATTTTGTCTGTGTGGTATGTGTGAGCATTTATGGATATGTATTTGAAAGGTGTTCTTGCCTTGCCCTTTTATTCGTTGGACAGATAAAGTAGAAGCAGCAATTTACAAATAAGCCAGAATTCTGGGCTCAGACATCACAATAAGCCTTGATTAAAGTGAACCATGGTACTTCACATTGTGCTTAGTTACCAAATAAGCCATGGGGTGTTGCTGAGGGTGAGTTCAAATGTTCAAATAATTTAAAAATAAGCAAAACAAATTCTAGCTAAGCTTATTGTTATGGGCAAATACTAATTTCCAATACATGTATGAGTTGGGATTACTCAAGAGAAAATTGCAAATGTATGTAAAAGGTAAGTTTTCCAAAAGGCATAAATCAGACTAGCACTTGAACCACCAACATTTGAAGTAGATTCGTAGATTTTTCTGTCTAAACATTTTAAAACTTTATTGCATTTGATTTCCCATGCCACCTTATTTTTACCCTGCAGTAGCAAATATATGTACAGAAGGACTTTTGAGAAGGGAATTTTAGGATTCCAATGAACTACCAAAACCATGTTCTTGGTGGCAAAGCCAGTCCTTCCCTCCTACCCATCACCTAGCCAATTTTGGTTTTGCTTTGTGCTCTTTTTTTTCAAAAGGAAGAAATATTACTAAACACCTTCATTTTCTTCAGTCAAGTAGTAGCTCCTAAAAAAGAGGGATTTAAAAATGTATAAAATGTATTTGCTGTACTGTAAAAATGTTCGGTTTTTAAAGCAAACCATATTAGACTCTTGATCACTTGTGTAGATCTCAATATAAAAATTCATTGTTTTACTAAGATGCTATTTATGATCGAAAAGAAATGGCTTCACTATTATAATACTATCAAAACTGCACTATCAGAAGCAATATTAAGTTTAAAAAGTGGACATTTCAAGAATAAAATATTACTTAAACCATATTAACATTGAAACTATGTTTTGGTGATGTACAAATTCCCAAAAGTTAAATAAATGTTGCCAGGTAAAATGGCAAAAAGGATTAAAAATAATACAATAAGAATCAACAGAAAACACTGTTTCAATGTACGTGTTTCTAGCATGAACTGAAATTTTCTATCAATAAATCCCGCTGTACTGTGGAGAACAACTCTTCATAGCAATAGCACTTAGACTTATATACAGTTTATAATGTTAGCATATTTCCCCCAACTCTCTGGGTCCTCATTTTATCAACTTCAGAAGGATGGAAGGCTGAGTCAACCTTTGGCCCTGTCAGGTTCAAACTCAGGCTATGAGCAGAGTTATCCTGCGTCACTGCAGGCTAACTATTGTCCCCCTGGGGCTCCCAAGTACAGTGTGTAAAAATCAAGGGCATGGATACATAACAATGCCCTAGGATGAAGGAAATATTTCACCTATGATACCTCTAAAAGATTAGTAGAGTCTTATCAATTTCATCAGATGCAAAACACAATTTTTCAGAACCTTTCTATCATCTTCCATCCAAACTATTCTATCCTAATGGGCGGCCTAGATTAGTTAAATGGTTAGGGTTAGGGTCAGGGATGACTGATGTGCCAAATGACTTGCAATGTCTGCTCAAGACTACCCAGAACAAGCCATGGAAAGAGTGATTCGTATGTGGTTTATTTTTCATGGAAGAAAAAAGGATGGTAGTTGCTTAAAACACAATTGATGGCCCAGTTGAACAAAAGAGTTTATATGGGATTATGTACATTAGACTCTCCTTCAATAATACTCAGTATTTTGGTAGTTTCATTTAATTCAACACACATAACAAAGTTTCTCTCTAAAAGCACAGCAAAACATCATCCTTTTGCCTCATCTCTTCAACCCAGTCTTGTAAACTAAAAGGTAGCTCAATTAAAAAACACACAAAAACTCTTACAAGCACTTCATTTGATCCTTTACCCAAAGGCTTTACTTAGTAATCAAAGCATGAATTCCTCTCTTGCTGCCATCGCTAAAAGAATGTGACAAAAACCTGAATATTTATGAGTAATATAAAGCTTCTCTTTTATCTTATGTCATGCATATCCCAAGTAGTTACCTTAGAGAAATAGCTTTTTTTCCCTTTTTAAAAAAATAATACCCAGCTTTTTCTCTCTTGGGACAACTCACTTTTCCTTAGTTTATTGACTAAATCTTACCTGAAGACAGAGTTTGAGGGATTTTTTTTTTTACTCATACAACACAAAAAATTCTGCAGCTTCTTCCTCACAAAGACCTGTATGCTCCTGGAGGTAAATCTGTTGCAGGCTGATATTGGTCAAGACTTGTCATTTTCAATCTACCTAAAGTAATGAGCTGGGCCTTGCAAAACTTTGCAGAAGGTATTAAATGCATA